GTCATGGTAACTTGAAGAGTCAATTTGAGGAATCCTCTCATGGAACTTTCCAGTATCTCTGATGCAAACACTGATCCAAACCAACTTGTGGAAGAAAGGGTTTATTTGACTTACATTTTACTGGTCACAGTTCATTGCTGAGGGTGCTGAAGTCAAGAACTCAGGGCAGGAGCCTGGAGGCAGGAGCTATGGCCATAGTTCAGTCCAATGAAAACAATTCCCCAATTGAGGTTCCTTCTATCCAGGTGTGTCAAGTTGACAACTGAAGCTATCAAACACAATTGACACCCTGCCAAGTTGCCACACAAACATATCACTATTAAGCCACAAGCTTTCCATTTCAAGTCCCCAAGGTATGATGTTAATATTAATATCATCAAAAATTTAAAAGTCTCAGAGAGATGGCTCAGTGGTTAAGAGCACTAATTGCTCTTGCAGAGGACCCAGGTTTGATTCCCAGCACCCACGTGGCGGCTACGAACTATCCTTAACTCCAGTTCCAGGGGAATCTGAAGCCCTTTTCTGACCTCCACACATTGTACAACATGGGTGCACTCACATACATGCAAGCAATACATCATACACATAAAATTAACAACAACAACAACAACAACAACAATAATAATAATAGAACATTTTTTAAAAGTCCCACAGTCTTAAAAACATCCAAACATTTAAAACATTTAGACTCTATTAATAAAGTCTTCTAAATGTGGGTACCTGTAAAGTTCAAAACAAGTACTATTTTATTTCAAAGTGAAAGAACAGAGCACACTTAAGCAAACCAAAGTCCGGCAAAGTAGCTCAAGACTGGACATCTGGGATTCACTCATGATTTTCTGGGTTCCAAAAGGCTTGGGCAGCTTCACTTCTCTGGCTCTACTCTGCAAGGCACACAATTTGCCTGGCAGCCTCAGGCTTGCTGTACTCCCCACCTACTGCTGCCTTTGTTGGTTGAATCTTGGTCCTGGTATCTCCAATATGTGAGGGGGTCTCTTCCGCAACTGAGTCTGCCCCTTCACAGTGACTTTTTCTGGCCTCTTACACTGCCAAGCCTTAGCTGCTGTTCATGACCCTCTCATACCTTCCAAAACCAGTACTATATAAGAGATTCTTACACATTACCAAGTCCTGATTCCAGCATGAGATAGAGCCTCAAGCCCCCTCTGGACCCCAGCTTGTGGGTGCTGACCCTGAGAAATACTTCCCAGAAAATTTCATTCAACGAAGCTGGTCTCTTCTTACTCAGAGCTGATTTTTCAGCTCCAGGTAACCAGCATCAATTGTTCCAGTAAAGCAAAGATTTCACTCCAGTGGTGCTAGTCTTACCTTATTCACAGATGAATCAGCCCCAGACAACCAGAAACCACAGATTCTCAATGCAAAGTATACAAACAGCTCTGGAATATTTACTTCCTTTATGAAGCTTCACAAACCAGACTTCCATTCTCAACATTTCAAATTGTTCCAAGCTTCACAGCAATAGCTCACCAAACTCTAAACACTCAATGGCTTTTCTAAACTAAGTTTCCAAAGGCTTCCACAATCCAAAACTACTAGATCAGGTCTGCCATACTGATAGCCCACTTTCTGGTACTAATTTTTGTTCTGGTTACTTTCTATTACTGCAATAAAAACACTGATCAAAACCAACTTGGGAAGACAGGGTTAATTTGGCTTACCTCTCCCGGATCACAGTTCTTCACTGAGGGAACCAAGGCCAGAGCCTAGAGGCAAGAGCTGAAGCACAGGCCATGGAGGAATGCTGCTTACTGACTTGTTCCCCAGGTCCATGCTCAATCTGTTTTGTTATACAATACTGGACCACCTGCCCAGGGATGGTGCTATCCACAGTGGGCTGGGCCTTCCCACAACAGTCAACAAACAAGAATATATCCCACAGGGGCTGAAGAGATGGTTCAGTGGTTAAGAACACTGACTGTTTTTGCAGAAGACCTGAATTCAAATCCCTGCACCCACATGGCAGCTAACAACTGTCCATAACTCCAGTTCCAGGAGATCTGACAGCCTCTTCTCTCCTCTGCAGGCATTGCACAACATAGGTGCACTTACCTCCATGAAGGCAATACATGCATACACATAAAATAAAAATATTAAAGAAAATATAAAGAAAAAGAATATATTCCACAGACATGGCCATAGGCCAGTGCACTGAAGGTAATTGCTCAACTGAGATTCCTTCTCTCCAGGTGCATCAAGTTGACAACTAAAACTATCCAGCACATCATGATAGAGCAGTTAATCATATTCACACCAATATTACAAAAGCTGGGGTGACTTCATTTCTCAGTTGCCTACATTTTTCTTGGTATTCCAGATTGATTTCTTTTTTGGAACTAACTGCAAAATTATTATTTAAGGGCCTTATTTGTGTGGTATTGCTATTTATTCCAATTAGCATAATAAAAGTGTTAATTGCTTATCTCACAAGACAGAAATTTTCTAATAGTTTAGAGATCTTTGTTTAAAAATAAAGAGTCACCGAGGGTTCTAAATACATGCTGACATTTCTGATTTATACAGTATTCTATACTGGCATTGTTTTATTAGAATCTTGCAGTGTAATTCACTATTATTTTTCTACTTCTGGGGTATCAAACCCTATTTTCTGGAATTGCTTTCTAATAAAACATGCTTATTTCTGATTGTACTTCTAAATATTTCAAAATCATAATACTGCATCAAAAAGGCAACTCATCATATCAGAAAGTGACTGAGATGTGCAGCCATCACTCTGCACATTAAAATTAGAATTCTAAATGATCGCTTTTCAACTGACTTCTCAGGTGAATGAAAGAATATAATCTTAGAATGACTGATAAGGTCACATGCACAATCTCAAATCATTTTATATAAAACCCTATCACAGCTTCCATAGCTAGTAACCTGCTTCTACTCATGTGTAGTGTACATACTCCTCATTGCATGACCTGGTCAGCTGGGGAAGCAGAGATTCTCTGAGAAGCATCAGACTTAGGACCCCTAGCAATGACTCACACACGTTTCAAGTAGTAACCTGTGTGAAAACATTAACTCCACCTTCCCAATGTGATAGGAACTAGGAGTACCTTCAAACTATAACTCAGGATTGGTAATAGTGATAGAGCAATAAAATTATAATTTAAAATATTCTTTACAGAAAACAGGAGATGGGTCAGTAAGTGAAGGGATTGCCAGTGTCATGCATGGATGAGGAGCTGAGTTCAGATCCCAAGAACCTACATAGTAAGCCAGGAGTGGCAGTGAATGCCCATAATCCAAGTGCTGGTGGAAGGCGTAACAAAATAACTCCTGGGCCATGAAGGCAAATTAGTCTTGGTAATTGGAGATATTCTGTATCAAAAATTATGGTGGGTATACACAAAATATTGATTTCTGTAATCCACATGCACATACATACATGTGCACATGCACCAGCACACACATGTGCACACAGGAACACATACACATTAATACATGCACAATAAATAGTTAAAATTTCCATTAAATGTAGAGTCTTTAATCTAATGAATCTTTTACACAATATAGGACTTTGAAAATCTAAGATGTGAATGAATGATTAAGCTTTAAAAAATTTATGGTTTGGTTTTAGGTTATTAATTTTTGTTATATTCGTTTTTTTAATATTTTACTTATTACTTTCATTTTAAGTGTATGAGTGTTATGCTTGCATGTAGGTAAATGCACCCATGTCGTGCAATGCTCATTGAGGACAGAAGAGGCTTTCGGATCCCCCAGAATTGGAGTTGTCAGCTGCTATGTGGGTGCTGGGATTCAAACCCGGGTCTTTTTCAAGAACAGCCAGTGTGGTTTAACCACTGGGACCTCTCTCCAGCCCTAATTTTTGTTATATTTTATCTCTTCCTATTTTATGGGTATGAGCATGTCTCCTTCATGCTGTGTATGATGCCTACAGAGAGCAAAATAGGGTGTTTAATCCCTTGGAACTGAAGTCACAGATAGTTGTTAGCTGTCATGTGGGTGCTTGGAATGGAGCCTGGATCCTCTGTAAGAACAGCCAGTGTTCTTATATACTGAGCCATTTCTCCTGCCCCTAGTTAATTAATTTTTAGAGACAAGATCTCTGATAGCTCAGGCTAGCCTTAAACTTACAATGAGTATTGTGATTACAAGAATAAACCAAACATACCCAACTCAATTTAAATTCTTAGTAAAAATGATATCACTTTACTTCAATAGTAAATCTATTCTAATAAAGGCTTCACAGTATTATTTCTATTTTTATTTTCATTTTATGCATACGAGTGTATTACCTGCATGTGTGTAATAGTGCCCAGTCATACAATACCGTGGGCATCAGAAGAGGGCATTGGAACGCTGGAACTGGAGTTACAGATGGTGGTTAAACACCATTTGGGTGCTTAGAATCAAACTTTGGTCCTCTGCAAGAGCAGCCAGTGCTCTTAACCCCTGAGGCATCTCTCCAGCCCCAAACAATATTTTTCTTTAAGGTTTTAAAGCATATGAAACTTGGGAAGTTTATGTTTTAAAAAGGAAGCAATTTTTTTGCAGCTGAAATTTCTATGAAAATCTATAAAGAAAGCAAAATGCTCCCTATTTATTTGTTATTGGTGGTGAGGGTTTTTTTTGGACTATTTCTAGGTATAGTGCAATACATACCTCAGGCAATTTACTTTGAGCTAAGAATTATATTTGGTTCTCAGTAGTAGGTGGTAGTTATCACTTTCATTCAATAGTGGCAATTATACTCACAGCTAAGCAAATTCTATACTTGAAATATATATGTATGCTACAAGTTAATCAAAGAATTTTAAAATGATAAGAAATGTTATATATTCTAATGGCTGTCTTTAAAATGGAGAAGTTGAGAAAATTAATGAATCATTTCTAGAGATAAAGAATAATATTTTCATGTAAATAAGAAGCCTACAGCATCATGTTGAAAGGAAGTGTTGAAGTCTTATAGCAGGTGAAGGAAGTTTCCTTTGCCTACTCACCCACTGGAGACATTTCTGGAACACTAGCAACGTAAGGTCCATCCAAGAACTTTGGCTCATTATCATTAATATCCTGCACTTTAATGATGAACTCTGATTCAGGTTCCAAGGGCTTCCTGGTTTCTATGTCTACTGCCTGAGCACGGAGAGTGTAGAAAGGTTTTTCTTCTCTATCCAGGCTCCTTATTGCATGAATGTCTCCTGTGGTTTCATCAATTGTAAAAACAGTGCCAGCACCATCTCCTGAGAGGGTGTATTTAACAGTGCCCTCTCCCTTGTCCAAGTCCGAATGCAGCTGAGAGAGAGAGAGAGAGAGAGAGAGAGAGAGAGAGAGAGAGAGATTGAGATTATTAGGTCATTGCAAGGATATTGCATTTTTAGTCCTGTCTGAAGTAAAATTTCTTCAGTAAGGAAAGTTACTACTTTCAGATCCTTTGCATTCACTCCATTACTCTGATTACAGGCATTTAAAATATGGATTGGAGAGATGGCTCAGTGGGTAGACTGCTTTCTGTGCAAGCATGAATTCCTGAGTTCAGTCTCCAGAATCTACGTAAAGCAGAACATAGTAGGTAGCATCACTTGTATCCCCAGTGCTCTTACTGTGATTTGAGAGGAAGAAACAGACCAACTAGCCTGGTATATAAGGTGGCAAACAAGAGACTCTGTCCCCAAAAAGGTGGAGGTTGGGACTGACATTCAGTTATCCTCTGACATCCATGGTATGCCTGCACACTCCATGGCATGAGCATGCCAACAATCACATGCATGAACACTTATAAACACACACAAAAGATTTTTTTTTAATGAAGGAAACTTAAAATGTGCAAAATATTTTTAAGATTCTGTGACTCTGTATGTGCCTATATTTGCTAAATATTCTGCTATTCCCCTTTGATTTTCCTGTTTTATCGATTAGATTGCATATTCAATCCTATTTCTTAGTGGATTATGGAGATCAGAAGTTTAACACACTACAGTATACCAGCAAGCATAAAACAACTTATTCTGAAAATTTTTTTTTACTTCTCATGTACCCTTTCAGAGATAATATTTTCATAAAATGAAGTGACACACATCTTAAGTATAATTGTTGTTTCCTTTTAAGTGATCTTGCTTAAAATAAATTGTCTCATATATAACCTATCATAAGCCACCAAAGAACATGCAGAGAGAAAACCAGGTCCTGAATCCAGCAAGATATGAGATAGAAGAGCAACGAAGAAAACACAGCCTAAAGGGAAAAGAAATCTTCCAGTGAGTGCAGCACAGCACCTTACTTTAACAATGTGTGTCTGAATAAGTTATCCAAGATTAGGCAATTGATAGGGAAAAAAGATGATTTTTTCAGATTTATACACAAATCATTTATATCTTATTCTTTGTAAGGAATATTTATTCTTTATAATCTAGAAAGATTTCAATTCGGTTCATTTATTTTGAACTTCAAGTGTTCAGTACACTATAGCATGGAATTATTACACATTAATAGCAAGGAGGGAGAGAAAAGAAAAATATTGTTGCGTTTATGAATGCTAAGTCAATGCAGCTCAAAGTGGAGTCCAAAAATAAAAGGAAGAAGAACACAGGTTTGGAGACCTATAAATTACCTAAGAATAAACAATACATACTTTAAATATTATAATAAAAATTTAAGTATATAATTTTATAATGCACACTATATATTATATAATACATATATGCAATATATATTAAATATATTAAAATTGTTAGACATAACATATATATGTATATGTATATGATGTATATGTATATGTACAGTGTGTGTGTTTTGGGGAAGGGCATTTATTTAGACAGGGTATCCCTCATGACTGAGCTGGACTACAACTGCCTACGTAGATCACACTCGCCTTGATCTCACAACGATCTGCCTGCCTCTGCCTCCTGAGTGCTGGGATTAAAAGCAGTATCCTACCATGCCCGGCCCACACACAGTCTTTTAAATTTTTTATTTTTAATTAGGTGTACAGCTGTCTGTCTGTGTGTGCATTTGTGCATGTACATTTGGGTGCCTGAGGAGGCCAGAAGAAGGCATTCGATACCCTAGAAATGGATTTACAGATGATTGTGAGCTTCCTGGTATGGATGCTGCAAACGGAACTCTGGTCCTTGCAAGTGCAGCAAGCACTCTTCATCACTGAGCCAACTTCCCAGCCCCCATAACATACATTCTAATAATTCATGTTACTTTCATTTGGAAAGAGAAAATTGACTTCATTGTCCAAAGTTTTATATTTAGCAGTCCATTTGAGATAGTACACCAATTACAGAAAAGAGTGTTAAACATTGATAGCTATCATAATCATTGTCTTGTCCTTCCAGTCTGCAAACAGGCACTGCTCCCTTGAAACATTTTTGTTAAGATGATTTTTGGTTGTATTAAGGTTACATGGCAAAATTAGTTTTAAGAGCATTTTCGATTATATCATCATCATTTTCAGTTTGGCTTTCTGTGGTTGGTACTAATTTTTTTTTTCCAAATAGAAGTGCAATTAAATGTAAGTCATCACTGGTTATAATTTTAAACTTCAAACTCAATAGTTTGGTTTAGGTTCAGTAAAATAACATCCATCAAAAATGTTATTAAGATGGATTTATTCATTTTTGAATTAGTATTTACTTCTGAATTTGCTATGAAGTACACTTAATATGGAATATGAGCATATGGATTTTATAACAGGTTGAGGGGCATAATTAAAGAAATAAGATAATGAGAAGATCTGTGATTTTTGATTATCCTGTAAAAGGCTTTTTTTTCACATCTTATAGAAATCAAAGGAAAATTTATAGGAATGAAAGGATGAATGGGTTTTTCTTTTTACTCATCCTATTTTTTTTTAAAAAAAACTGCAAAGCCTAAAGAATTTGGAGCATAAAATCAAGCTATAGATAAATGTTCTTTGAACTTATGAATTTCAAATCACAATTGTCAACCACACAACCAAAAGATATTCAGCGCAGTATTACTTTTGCTTTCAAATTTATGTTAAGATATAAGACCAGCAAAAGTTCAATACAATAGGAATGGTTTGATAAACTCTATTCAGGTTTCCAGTGGCTCAAAGAATATATGCAGGTATTTGGGGAACTAAGTGAAAATCCTAACGGAGTTTTCATAGTGCAAGTCACATAAACTTACAGAAGAAAAAAATCATTTGGTTAAAGACAACACTGTTTTCTATTCAGACTGATAATTCGTAAAACAAAACAAAACAAAAAAACCATATGTGTTTTCAACCTTATCAAGAATCCAAGTTAAATTCAGTTGTTGCTATTCCTCAAACTTCTGCCTTTATCTTTCAATTAAAAAATGTGTTTCATAAAGATTGAAGTATTAGAAAAATACATGAAAATACACTAAAAATTTGAGCTGAAATTTACATTGATGAATACACATCTCTTTTTAGTGGCTAGTTGTTTGATGATCTCAGAGGTGATCACAGGTACAGCCTTGTCAGACAATATTTAGTGTTACAGTTCAGTGCTGGCTGACTGAGGTACCTGACGTGAGGTATAGATGCTTTTCAAGCATCAAATTTACTAGAAAATGAATAAGAATGGCTTGATGTTGAACATTACAAAATCTTCAGTTAAAGAAAATAACACATTTTATAGAGAATGGCACAAAATAAAATACACCTCACTTTCTCATCTAGTGATAACTTCTTTAACTTTTTTTTGAACTTTTGCTTATATAAATAGAGAAAACTAAAATAGTAAAATGCAACTAAATATTTGCTATGCTTTTGTATTCATATATTCATTTCTCTGTGTATCTATACTTGGATTTTTAAAAAAAAAAACTGAGGTGACAATTTCAGTAACTAAACACCATAAGTCTTTTCCTGTATCATTTGGAATCCTCAAAATTATGCATTTAGATTCTGCATTATATTCATGTAATGAAACTCAATGAGTCAACGGACATTGCTAATTCTTGCATAAGGGATATGGTGAATGTTTCCGTGAACATGTGTTTTCTTCTGTTTATTTCTTTTAAACAAAGCAACTGTGAAGATGGAAAATGAGATAGTTTTATGAATCTTAAGAAATGCTGAAACATTTATAATATGGACTGAACAGTGATTTCAAAAATTCATCTCTAAATAAAATTGCCTTTGCAAGCCTTTCAGTGATAAAATTTAGACTTAGTTTATACCTTGTAGATACTTTTGAGTCTAATTTGCATTAAGAATAGGATGGCTTCCCTTTTCTTTGGATAGTGTCAATTGTTAAAAATAATTCAGAAGGCACTGTGGTGGCTTAAATGAGAATGTCTCCCATATGCTCCAAGTATTTTAACATTTGACTCCAGTTGGTGGCACTATTTATTTATGCGGGCTTGCAGGAGGAAGCATTTCACTGAGGGCAGACTTTGGAAGTTCTTAAGCCTTTGGCATGAGGACTTTCAAAACAGCCTAATGATGTTGCAAGTAGGGCAGAAAGAAATACAAAATGTAAAGCTTGGGGAGAAAAAGAGCACTGTGGATAACTAAAATGTGGTACATTTACACACTACAGTTTTCTTCAGTAGTAAAGAAAGATGAAATAATGAAATTTACAGGTAAATGGATGGATCTAGAAACTGTTATACTAAGTGAAACAACATGGACTGAGAAACACAAAAGAAGTATGTTCTCCCTCCTTTGTGGATCCTAGCACCAAATCCTTATAAGTGAGTGCATACTCTGATGCAAGTGCAGGGATCAGGGATATGGAAGGAAAACGGAAGTAAAGGGAAAGAAGGAAACCAAGAGAGAAGAATAGTAGGAGAAAGGTGTTATTAAGGGAGAAATATATAAAAAGGGGGTAGTTAAAGCGGGGGAGGAGGACTATAAAAACAACTATGGGAATAAAGGGGGGAAATTCTCCAGCTACAGGGAAAAAAAAAAAAAAGCCTTCCAGAAGCAATGCAGTTCTTAAATGAAAATCCCAGTACCAGAGGTATGTTGCCCCCTATGAGCATTTGGCCTGGGGGACACTACAGACCCACCCCAAAAAAATTTCCATTGCCAATAATGTTGGTTATACACTGGAAGTGGACAGAAAAACCCTATTGCTGAAGACTCTGCATGGTGTGAGCATGGGAGAGGAAGAAATCAAGCTTGGACTAAGCTGGAAACTCCCTGCCACTGGATGGGTGGCTTTCATGGTGTCAAAAGGCGACAAACAGATGACTGGGGAAGAATAGTCCCCTATAATTCTCCTCAACGACAGACTCCATGTGTTGCACTATCAATATACCAAACAAGATGTTCCTGCTAGTGCAATAGT